AGATTGGGGGGGAGGGTGTTTTTTGGGACAACTAGAGTCATTGTGACCAATGTGGTAGCAAGTTTTACAATATTGGGGAAGTTGTTCTTCAACAATAATATACTGCCAAAATTCTTCGTACCCATCATCCTCAAGCCAGAATTTATCAGGGATGGGCTTAAGGAGGTCAACTTCGACAAGTAAACGGGCCACGGAAGGACGCTTCTTGTCCAACGTGGGTTTATCCTAGCGAAGGGGTTGACAAAAATTGGAACATAGTTCAAACAGGAAATCTTCATCAAAGAGATGAAAGGGGAGGTGGGGGAAGTGAATCCAGCAAGGAACGAATAAGGATTCCCTATCAGGATGGTAACCAGAGTACCATCTAGAGACCCTCATTGTATAACCATGAATAATCCAGGGTTGCCTGGTTCTACAACGGATGTACTCATTTTTATCGGAAAAAGATATGAGAATTTCATTCTTGTATAACAGACCGATTGTAAACGATTTAAATTTCAGGGCTTCGAATACCTTACGAATGGCAAGAATAGGAGGGCGTCCCTTTAGAAAGGTACCGACGAGAGAGTATTTGAGGTCGGCCGCGAGGAGATCAGACCTAGCCTTGGGGATTTTGACCGCGAAGCATCCGTTGTGCTTTCCGACAACCAGCTGCAGAGACGGATCGTCTTTGGCGATTGGTTGTTTCCTGGGCTGGCCGGAAACCACCGATGCCCAAGAGCGTGGCGGTGGGGGCTCCCCCATGGTCGGGGAACCAGGGCTGCGAGAAGATATCTTCGTTTAGGCCAGAATGGCAACAAAGGGTTTTTTTTTTAGAGATTGACATGACAATGCATTGTATTAACTTTTAGTCATATTTATGTAAATAAATTTTATTTGAGTAATATTTTTGAAAAAATATACTACCTCCGTCCCAAAAAACTTTGCCATTTCCAAAAATTTGAACCTTAATTTTGTTTAGTATAATATTATGCAAGTTATAAATTTTATACTTTTATGAAAGTACTTTTAACAAAGAACATTTTCATATAACTTTTATATTTTAAATCATTTTCAATAAAAAGATATATGCGGTCAAAGTTTTGAAAATGGCAAAGTTTTTTGAGACGGAGGTAGTAATAAATTAAATTTATTATCCATAATAAAGGAGCAGCAGACTCAGCTCCTTTATAAAAAGTAATAAATTAAATTAAAGAATATAGCGCTCATATTACATTATCGTATTCTTTTTATAATATTATTACATTATGGTATTCTTTTTATAATAATTTTAACATGAAACCTCCCGACAAGAGTATAGCTACATGTATTCGTCATTGTGAATTAGTTATAGTAAAAACATTTACAAGTATGTCCACTGATCGAATTCTCTGCAAAACTTAAATTCACATGTTTACCAATAATGACAAAAACTATATTATAGGTTTCTCCTATAATGACAAAAATATGACTAGATTCTCGTATGGATAATAAAGAGACCAAATAAAATTGAAAGGACTAAAATGCTCCCGCAAACCCCAACGGGCCAACTTGAGTCTATTGCTCCTTCAAAGGACCGTCTTCATTCATACTACAAAGGACTAGTCACCACCGACCTGGACATTGCTGCCGCCATCACTGGAAGTCGGTCACTGGAGGCACGTAACCGTCACTGCAGGATTCTTTATTTGAAAGGGAAAATATCAAAGTTACCGGGACAACCAAAAAAGGAAAGATAGGCGTACCATATCTTAATACTCCGTATTAAGTAACATTCTACCTAGGTAATCCTTTCTCCTTGGCACATGCTTTAATAAAAAATCTATGGACAAAAATGTGACTATAAGTTACTATGACTATGTTTTATAGTCACTACGATGTAACATTTGAATACAATTACTCAAGTCACATTTTTGTTAATTACTTTTATTTTGGTTACTACGACCCAACAATTATGTTCACTATCAATAAGAACCTGAATGATAAAATATGTCAATCGATATAGAGGACTTGAATGATTGAAGACTATAAATTAAAAACCTTAACTATCATAGATTTTTATCGATATAATTCTTTATTGCTAAATTTTATTATCTTTTCTTCACAAAAGTTTTTTAATTTAATAAGACTAAATAATACTCCCTTCGTCTCTTAAAATTTGGCCAAGTTTGACTCGCACCGGATTCAAAAAGTAAAAAGTGTGTGGATAACGTTTGTGTAGAGGACAAATAATAATTGGGTTTTTTACGAGAATATTACTAAAATAAAACTTATTTACATAAATATGACTATTCATTACTACAACGTAGTGCTGTGGTAACTAAAGTTCAAAACTTGAACATGAATTACTATGACTTCATTACTACTTTAGTAATGAATCACATTTTTGTAAACCATCTTTATTTTGGTCATATTTATGTAATTATTTCATAATAATTAGCTTGAACCACAAATTCTTTACTTGAAAGTGAAAGTGCCAAAGTTAGTGGGACAACCAAAAAAGAAAAGTTAACAAAGTTTTAAGAGTATCTGAATTTTAAAAATAAAAATTATTAAAATTCATGATATGTTAAATCTCAGTTGAATAGTTGTCAATCATTCGGGTTGGGTTGTGGTCTCATTGCCTCTGGTGGGTGACACCATCAAATTGTTGGGAGGTAATATAATTGGCATTAATTAGGGGTGGACAATACGGTTTAGAATTCGATTTTTATGGGTTTCGGTTCAGTTTTGGTTCATTCAATTTGAGAGATATTGTACCAAATTAAAATCATTTGTGTTCCGTTTTGGTTTTAGTTCGATTTCGGTTTCGGTTTGGTTCAGTTTTAAGTTCGGTGTACCAAAGTAAAAATTATTAGGTTCAATTTAGTTCGATTTGATTTGGTTTCATATGTTTATTATTTTATTTGATCAAGATCTATATTTTAGAAATAGAAAGTGAAAATAGTAGTCAATCTCATCTTCTTGTATTTAATATTTCAATAAAATGTAAAGGGAAATAAAAGATAGAAAAAGAAATAATAAAATATTACTTCTAGCATATTCTTTAATTTAATTTATTAGTTTTTTTCTATAATGAACCTTATTTATAAATAATTTACATGTTTAGAAAAAACTACAATGAATGAATTTGATGTATAGGATATAAATAATTTAGATATGAAAAATACATATTCTTTAACATATGTTTGAATTGGTGTAATAAATATCATCACACCTTCAACCTCATCTAATTGGTGAATCAACATATCATCTTCCTCTCTTGCTACACCATTACATGGTTCGTGATGATCACGATTAACTCCCCAAGATTCAGACATATGATTTAGAACTGAGGATATGTCTCTTGTAATGCCATTAAATGACAAGTGAGGAACTGAAATTGAAGTTGTTTCAAGTAAAAGAGAATTGATATTTTGACAATTTTACATTATAACAAAATGTGACGATTTACAATTATTACTACAACAATAACAACATCCAAGACTTAGTCTCAAATGATATTGGGGTCGGCTAACATGAATTGATACATGATATCACCAAAAGGAAAAAATGTTTGGTGAATCTAAAGGGGTCAAGCAGAGTCCTTATAAGGGGTCAAGTAAGTCCTTATATAGAAGATTCTATCCGGACATGCCGTTTGAGGCCGTTCCCGGTGGAATTTTTTGATAAATTTTTTTGAACATCTTATTCATTAGGTCTGGTTTACTCATACCAAATTTCAGCTAAAAATTCAATCGGGGAGGCATTCAAATGAATTCTAGAAGATAACTGCACTTTTAACAGCTCACTTATCTTCAAGAATTCATTTGAATGTCTTCCCGGTTGAATTTTTATCTTAAATTTGGTATGAGTGAACTAGACTTAATGAATAAGATGCTCAAAATATTTCATCATAAAATTCCACCGGGAACCGCTTCAAATGACACGTCCAAACAGAACCTTTTATATAAGGACTTATTTGACCCCTTTCATGCAACTTCGAGGACCAAACTGACCCTTTACTCCATAAAAAGTTGTTTGGTGAATCTAAACGTTCTAGGCGTCAATTAAACGGTCTGGGCGGGCAACTAGACGCCCTAGACGGCTGACTAATTCATGTAGGCGTTAAATCAATTAGTCGGAACGCCTAAACAGAAATCGAGGTGCCCGACCACCGCTTAGCACCTAGTTGAGCACCTAGAGCGATTTTTTGAACAGTGATATATGCTAAATATGTTTCATATCTAAATTATGTAATCTTGTATATGAAAAATCAATAACACAAGTACAAATTATTTTTATAAATATTACAAGTTGTTCGACTCAATTTATGGTTTAAAACCAAACCAAATTAAGCCATTAGTTTGAGTAAATTGTTACAATGAACTCAAATCAGATTAAAGTACGAGTACTAATTTTCAGTTTCATTGGATTCGTTCTACTTGGTCAAACCAAGCCATTTTGACGAGCGACATATTTTGTTTTGTTTTGACGAACGAACATTGCAAATCACTCTTTATAGAGGAGACTTTCCGGCCGTCGCCACTAAGGATGATTCCGGTAAAATCTTGATTAAGTCTAGTTTACTTATATCAAATTTCAGCGAAAAATTGATAAATTTTTATTGGGAAAATGTAAATTAATAATCCAACCTTTTAGCGGTCTTCTTTTAATAGTCCGACCTTTTCGTTATTCATGAATAATTCAACCTTTGCATCGCATCTTCATTCATTGGTCTCCGACCGATTGATGACCTGCTATTCCAAGTTATTTTCTTATCTTTGCAAAATATTGTCTTTGTAAAAGGTGGAATTTATGGTATAATAGTTTGCAGAGATAAGAAAATAACTCGGAATAGCAGATCATCAACCGATCGGGGACCAATGAATGAAGATGAGGTGCAAAGGTTGAATTATTCATGAATAACGAAAAGGTCGGACTATTAAAAGAAGACCGCTAAAAGGTTGGATTATTAATTTTCATTCTTTTTTTTTTTTTTTAATAATAACTGGGCAAGGTATATTTTTCGCTTAAATATATGCCTATCCATTTCCGTCAAAATCTCTTGTGCAACACAGCAGCAGTTTTCCCGTCGCTGATCGGAATTCCGATGGAAGCCGAGAAGGATTGCTCTTTCAACCAAGTTGTTACTTTAATTCCTTTACTTCTCTTCCCTTTTCGGAGTTCTTGTTTTTAGTTAATGTTCTTGGGTCTGTAACTGATCAGGACTTGATTCACGAAATCTTCAAGCTCGTCTGGAGAAAAACTGCTGCAGGTCCTGCCTTTTCCTTTTCGTCTATTATCATTTCCTTCAAATTCTAGTTCTCCGACATATTTTCCCTCCAGATCGCGAGAAAAACGAAATCTCCCAAACTATGGATGCCGAGATTGTTGGAGCAGCTACCACCTCCAGGAAAAACCGCCCTACTTCTGGTAGTTTTTTTACTCGTAATATCTAATCATATTCGAATGATGAGAAACTTGTTAAGATTAGAAATAGTACGGATAGTTTTTTTTTACTCCAGGGGCAGAGGGGGCTAAGTGAGGGGCTGGAGTAATCACGGCTGAACTTTCAGCCGGGATAGCGGGGATAGTACGGATAGCTATAACTGGAAGTTTGAAACCATACTCCGGGTATTTGAGAGTGAGATAGGGCTTATTATATAGATATAGAAAGTGTATCTTATTATTACAAATGGGCTATTAGTAGTGCTAATATAGATATTTAAAAAGAACAGTGCTACTTAATGTTAAGTACATTAAATTGGAGAACACATCTTACATGTAAGAATTTATGGGCAGGTAGTGCTACTGATATCTGAAGTGTGATGGCCGCCGAGAGGCATGTGCCCTCATCCCTCAGCTGTATATCCCTGATGGGATCCACCGGTACCCTCGGCCGGCTGAAGGGCCCGGCTGATGGGTGAATGGATGGAAGTGCCCGGCAACCAAGTTCACTGAAGGTTCCCTCAGCTGGATGAGGGCCCCAACCGAGGCCGTGATGGACTGTCTTCTGGGCTTGCTACCAGTAGGGTTTGTTTAGGTGTTTTGTGAGTATGTGTGCTGTGGATCTGAGCTCATATACTGATATACTCATCACGTACTGCCCTACTAATAATACGGATCAATTTTATCTGTCTTAGGGACTTCTAAAAGTTCAAAATGGCACGCCATCCTGTAGATTTATGTCTACATAATTCCACATCTCTTAGAGATCAATGATTTGTAATGCAGAATGAAGGCTCTATATTTGGATTTATCTAATGCCTATAGTAAAAGAATGAATTTCAATATTTTTCGTCAATTTGCTTTGATGATTGGACTATCTATTCCACCTACTGAGTTAGAAGGTGTATAGCATTTCAAAACCATATGATATATCATATTAGAGTATCTAGTTTCTTAGGATGAAGGTTGTGTTGTTTGTACATATTGACAGTTTCATAGTTTTAGCTGATTTGGTGTATAAAATTTCTTTGCGTTTTTCTAATCATCATCATTGTTATTCCCCCCCTGCTAAAAGGTACCCATGTTTGTCATACTTCTTTTGAATTAGATACAGATTTTTTTTTCAGGTGCAATCAGTACTTTTTTGTTTCTATTTCAATTTACATAAACTTACATTTAGAGTAAATACCCAGTTTGTTCCCTTTTTTATACACGACTATTTAATTCGTTCCTCAACATTACTATTGGAATGGATTTGGTCCTCAACTATGGTATTTGGATCAAATTTGGCTTTCATACATGTGTGGTTAGGTTTTACATAAGAGGGCTTCTTCTTTCCATTCACTAAATTTACCCAATTTTGGACAAAAAAATTGCTAAGCGTATGGAAATAACCTTGAACAAATTAGACATGAGGACTGAATTGAGTATAAATTGCATCTGCTTAGTTGAGGACAAAATTGAGTCCAAAAGGAAGAGGATGAATAGATTGAGCGATGGTGCATAGTTGAGAGATAAAAAACTGGGCATTAACTTTTAAATTTATAAGCAATTTACTTGGAAATGTTGGTTAGCATTTATTCTCAGGTCGCTCATTGCGCTTTTTGAATGATCTGTTGTAAAGAAATTGTTCGTGATTCATCTTTACCTTTTCCAACTTCCAACATTTTTTAACTTTTCTATTTGGTTGACTATTGAAGTGGTTTATGACTTTATGTTGACGCGTGCAGCAAATGCAGCTGCAGTGAAGCTTAGTTGTGAACTTCTTCGAGTTTTTGTTGCAGGTTTGATGGCTTTAATTAAAATAACAATTGTTCTCCATTTGAATATTTTGTTGTTTGTTGGCATTTTGTTCAATCCCCAATTTCTCAATAAAATCATGAAATAAAACAATTTCCTTTGTAATGTAGAAGCTGTACAACGTGCTGCTGTTATTGCTGAAGCTGAAGGTACTGATAGGATTGAAGCAACACATTTAGAGAGGATACTTCCACAGTTACTTTTGGATTTTTGAGGTACTCCTGAAACATTGAGTTATGACTTAAGTGCAACTGTGCAAGCCACACAGATATTACTGGAGATTCAGCACTTCAGTGATTAACTTATAATCTGATTATGGTATTTTTAAAACCATATTCTGACAATTTCTGCATTGAAGTGGGTAGATGATATGTAATATTTTCTGGAAACAAATTTGATTTGATTTGTAAATAAAATGCATTTCTTTTTAAGTTTTTATAATTATCGATTAGACTTGCTGTAAACAAATCTTTCTGCAAACTTTGGAAAACACGTTCCATGTTGAGTTGGTATATATTTGAATTTTAAGGATTTGTTTCGCGCATGGATCTGCACTAAAAGGGAATGGGTTGGGTAAGATGGGGTTATATCACTTGTATGTTTCATGACCCACGTTTGGTACTGGACTACACTGAAGTGAGTGGGAGAATGTGACAAATGTAGCCCCGCCAATTAAGAGAGCTACAAAAGTACACATTTAAATGGCCTCAAGAAGAATATAGTGTTACTCAAAATTTATACAAGGCAACGAGTTACTGATCGGTCCCCTCTGGCACATCCAGTTCAGATGAGTCCATCTAAGTGTCTAACCAAACAAGTATTTGATAGGTAGCGGAACAATCACAGAAGATAATCAAAGTATATTTATGAAGATTTAATGAAGGAAAACATAAAACAGCAAAAGAAAAGGTTGAGACTCTTCGAGTGGTCTCACACTCCCAAATTCCCAGTCCCGGTCGGTATTCAAGGTCAGTATTCAATTGTTCCATCTGTTGGCAAAACAGGATTTTTTTGTTTAATTGAATGCTTAGTTGTAAATGTTTAAATATTTAATAACACTGATGCTCTAGAGCCCGCTTGGTAGGGGTGTTCTTCGGTTCGGTTTCTTCGATGCTGGTTTTATTGGTTAGGTTTTTAGTCGATTTCTGTAATGGTGAAATCTAGAAGTGGACCGCACAACTTGAGTCGATTTTGGTCGGTTTTGGTCGGTTTTGGTCGGTTTTGGTCGGTTTGTATCAGCTTCAGTCGGTTTTTGTCAGTCGATTTCGATTCGGGTTTTTAACCCAAATGTTGAACCATAATCCCAAGTGCCAATGGGTTATCTCGTTTTAGTTGGTGTCAATTTCATTCGATTTAGTTTTGATCAGTTTGATGTCACTAACCTCGGTAGAATTTCAGCTTATGCAGTTAACTTCAGTGTTAACAAAAGGGTTCCTAGAAAAATTTATTACCACAGCTACTCTAAGAAAAATATATCTGTGAGAAGTGGGAGTTTTCATGTTCACCTCAAAACACAAATAAGGGAATAGATGGAGTGAGCTACCCCTGTCCCTTGCTGGGTCACCCAAAAAAGATATGGCTTAGCTCTTGTCTCTTAGGGGGTGTATTGGATCTAGAATTAGTGGTAAAATCTTAGAAGTCTATGGAATTTAAAAGTCTGGGTGTATTGAATACATATTATTAAAAGTTCATAAAAATCTAGCTGTATTCAATTAGAATTTTCAAAAGTCAATAACAAATCCACCAAAGTTTAGATGTATTCAATGCAGACTTTTAAAAATGAATAAAAGTTTGTTTATTGAATATAATTATGAAACTCATGGATTTGGGTAATTATTCATATTGGTGGATATTAAATCCATTTATATAAATAGTCATTCTCCATTATTTTCTCATCCTTACCCAAGTGATTTCATGAGACTTTCTAATTGCCATTTTATTCCTTTCTCCCAAAGTGGCCACATCAAGCGTTTTTTCTTTGCTTATCCTTCCCTTCTATTGCTTATTCTTCTCTCCAAACTTCTTTGTTCGAATCAACAAATGTGCGTGCTTTACGAGCTACTTTGCTTTGCTTTCTAAAATGAGTATGGGTACCTACGCTCTAGGATGTGCCGTCATTTCCTTCGGAGCCACCGGAGTTTCCAAGAAATCCTCTCTCTACGGCCACTGGAAATTCTCTATGTTGCGCAACCTTGTTCGCTGCTCAAGGTCCAATGTGGATCCGGGTTTACATCAAAATGCGGATCCAAAAGCTCATTTCCCTGTTATGATGTAAAAGCCCAGGTTGCCGCGATAGGACAAGCTGCTGAAGTGATTCCAAAGGTAGAATGTCCCGTAGTTGTTGTCACTGGAGCCTCTAGGGGAATTAGCAAAGTCATTGCCTTGGCTTTAGGGAAAGCAAGATGTAAGGTTTTGGTTAATTATGCAAGGTCCTAAAAAGAGGGTGAAGTGTGCAAAGAGATCTAGGCAGGTGGTGCTCAGGCTCTTGGTTTGAGTGGAGATATTTTTATAGAGGCTGATGTGGAAGCAATGATGAAAACTGCAGTTGATGCATGGCCTGGGCATTGTAGATATATTGATCAACAGTGCAGTAATACGAGGGATAGTTTGCCGATGAGGATTATTATTGACCTGAATCTTGCTGGTGTTTTTCTGTGCACACAAGCAGCTGCCAAAATAATGATGAAGAAGAGAAAGGGAAGAATAGTCAACATAACCTCAGTTGTTGGCCTTGTTGGCAATTTTGGGCAGCTAACTATAGTGCTGCAAAGGCTGGTGTAATTGGACTAACTAAAACTGTGACAAAGGTAGGGGAAAATATTAAGAAAAGATTTTGAATCAAATCCCATTAGCAAGGTACGGCCAACCGGAAGAACTTCCCGGATTAATGGAATTCCTTGTTCTTCGTCCCACGGCAAGCTACATGAGAGTGCAGGTCTTGACAATTGATGGAGGTATGGTAATGTAAGAGGGGTTGCTTCCATTGTTTAGTGCTAGTTAGGACTTTATTTTTTTTAATCAAGACTGACATTCTACCCATCGATTTCATTGCAATGTATTTAAATGTTCGTATAAGAGGAGGGGTTGCTTCCATTGTTTAGTGCCAGTTAGGACTTTATTTTTTCAGTTGTTATACCGTGGGAGCAGCCCACGGTGAGCATCCTACTCCCACCTGAAAAAATCACTTGTTACTGTTCACACGCGTGAACAGTAACTTTTTTTTTCATTGTCTGGATTCTGGAAGCAGAATGATGTAACTCACGCGTAAGAAAATGTAATTCACGCTGACAAAAATGTAACTACAGGCAAGTCAAAATGTAACTTGTCTAATATGGATAATAAGAAATAAAATATTGATTTCAATGGAAATAATGAGTCAATTGCTCAATTACTTTACCTAAATAGTGAATATGTCTGTTTTTAGGGAAAAGGTGCAAATAGGCCCATGTACTAACAAAAAAAGGTCAAATAAGCCGTTATTTAGGAGGCTATGTCCGGCCGTCGCTATTTGGGGTGGTTCCTGGTGAAATTTTTTAATGAAATTTTTTGAGCATCTTATCCATCAAGTCTAGTTTACTCATACCAAATTTCGGCTAAAACTTCAATCGGGAAGGCATTCAAATGAATTCTTGAAGATAAATACGATTCTAACTGCGCAGTTATTTTGAAGAATTTATTTGAATGCCTTCCCGATTGAAGTTTTAGTTGAAATTTGGTATGAGTAGACTAGACTTGCTGAACAAGATGCTCAAAAAAATTCATCAAAAAATTCCACCGTGAACCACCCCAAATGACGACGGCCGGACAGAGCCTCCTAAATAAGGGCTTATTTGACCTTTTTTGGTTAGTACATGGGCCTATTTGCACCTTTTCCCTTGTTTTTAATATTAAGGCCATAAAAAATGTTGTTTAAAAATTATTTTTTTTGCTAAAGAATCATTTCTTAGCAAAAAAAAGTGATTGTTTTACTAAAAATATCTTCTTCTTTTTGCAAAAAAAAGTTTTTTTTGAAGTGGTTTTTTTTGTAATATAACAGATGTTATGAAAAATGTAAACCGCGTTGAAGAAAAATCTAAGTTGAGTGTATGCAAAATGTAACTTGTTAAGGTAAGTCCAAATATCACGTATCGGAAGATGTAACTCACGCATAAAAAAGATGTAACTCGCGTATAAGAATATGTAACTTCATATATTATCACAAGCAATGAAAATAAGCAGTCTAATTTCTCAATTAATTAAAGTAACCAATTAATATGTCTTGTTTTTAGTATTAAAGCCATAAAAAATGTTTTAAATGAAAATAATTTTTTTGTCAAAAAGTCATTTTTTTTTGCCAAAAAAATCTTTTTTGTTTGCAAAAAATTGATTTTTTTTGTTTCAATAGCACGAGTTTATTTTGTGATGTAACTCGTGTTATGGAAAATGTAACTTGCGTTAATGGAAAATCCAACTTAGGAATATGCAAAAGGTAACTTGTTGAGACAAGTCCAAATGTAACTCGCATATAGAAATATGTAACATACGCATAAAAAAGGTGTAATTAGCTTGCGCATGTGAAGATGTAATTCCATATATTATCGATCAAATTATTCAAATGTAAATAATGAAAACAAGGAGTGTAATTGCTTACTTAATTATAATTGCCAAAAGTTATTTTATGAAAACATAAACCACACGTATGAAAAAATAATTTCATATTTTATCAAATGTAAATCAAAATAAACAAGTTTAATGTCTTAAAAAACTAACAACATATAAAAGAGATAAACAAAATATATTATAGAAAAAAGTGTATGAATAGGAAAAAATATATTATGAAAGAAATGCATAAATATTAAAAAATATCACATAAAAAATAAATTTTATTGTAACTTCATTTGAAGAAAGAAAATAGAAAGAATGTGTAAGACAAAGGACTAAGATAGAAAAAAAGTAATTAATTTATTTTGAAATGATTAAAATTGGATCAGAAAATTGTAATGCTCCTAATACATTCCACTGATCATGAATTAGAAAAAAATCATTCCGAAATAGTGGACTCAATGATTGTTAGCTTTTGATTAAAAGTAAAAAAGCACAAAAAAGGAAAGAAACGATAGTGGGCTGGGGGAGTGCGACTAAAGTAAGAGACGGTGGATAAATGGAAAACGGTACCGTATTGGGATCGGTATACCATGAGCATGGTATACCGATCTCACGGTATAATTTGCATTATTTTTTAAATCAAGACTGACATATTCAACCCATCGATTCATTGCAATGTATTTAAATGTTCATATAAAAGTCTAGATATATTCAAATCAATAGAAGTCATTCATTTAAAAGTCATTTATTTAGAACTTAGAAGTAATTCGATTTTAAAAGTCTATGGACTTCAAAATTAATGAATTAAAAACTCTACATGATTAAAAGTTTACAGACTTATTTTAATATTTGGGATCAAAGAATATCAACCAAAATCCAGATACAATAGACCCCTGTAGTATAATTGTCACAATAAATGTGTACTTGTTGATATTAATAATTACATCGT